GCTGCAAATGGCTGGCAAATATCCTTGTGCTCTGATGCTGTAAATAGTAAATGCTGTTTATGGCTAGTCAATGTTTATGTATTTTATGGGTCACATTTATTTCAGAGGGATCATTTTTTATTTCCATGTTAACCTTGCCCACATCTTCCCCTTGGGACCGAGTTGCCTCCCGGGCGCTATTTCTGGCTCTCCTGCTGACCACCTGTGAAACTTTGGGCAGCTCGTGTCCTCCCGCCATGCCTTGACTCCTCCACCTGTACTTGGCCACCAGCAATGCTGGCCTGGCTCAGAAGTCCCTAAGGTTATATCTGTCCTACTGAATTGCTTGAATGAAACAGCACGACAAGACCTACCAACTATAAAGATGAAGGTCACTGTGTGAACAGCTCTTTTTCTCGAAGGTGAATGAGCCAACACACTGGCTGGATCAAGGCAAATTGTACAAAGGGATCAGGGTAGGAAGATGGAGTGATAGACTCCGGGATCAGCCAAGAAGAGGAACATCTTTGTAAAATAACTTTCACTAGCAGCAATGTTACAAAAATCCTGTGGGCAGACACATGGATGAGAGAGATCCTCAGCTGGAGTCTGTGGGGATGTCTGGCCTGATGGATGAGCGTGCAGACGGAAAGCGAACTGCAGCAAAAGGATTTGGGCTGATGCGTGACCACACTGACAATTTCTGTCAATCCGGGTCCACCACCAGGGACAGCAGTTGCAGCGACTTCATGCGACTGATACAAGTGAGTAATTATCTTAATGAACTGTCTGCAAGAAAGCTAAAGTAAAGCCTGTCTTTCTTATGATGTTTGATTTATTCAATTATAAAGGCGCCTATCCCGGGCTCTAGGGTCTGAATCCTGGAAGGTTTCTAGGTGTCATTCAAATCGGCAGGAACCAAGGCAGCAAGAAAACCAAGAAGGGCAGCACGGTCCCTGTGATGCAGGACAGTCTGCAGTGACAGGCTCCTGGAGAAATGCCACACATCCATCACCTGGGATTCCCTCCGCTGCTCCAGGGCCAGTCAGCGCATTGGCTTACGTCAGCTCAAGGAGATGCCAGGGAATGCTGCCAAGCTGCTGTCTTTGCCCTCTTCAAGGTCTATTTATACCCACTTAAGGACATCAGAACACCCTTGGGATAGGAGAGACCTTTCCATCATTTTGGACGCCATGACTTGATCTGCCTGGTTTTGAGCACTGTTGTTCCTATTGCGTTATGTATTATTTTTGCCAAGTTGCTAGCAGCTCCAGCATGTTTCCAGATGCCACTGCAAAGTCTGTTAGAAGCCGGCACCAGAAAAATGCTTCCAATTCTCCCCAGGCTTTACTGACGCTGTATTTTCTGTCAGTTTTTCTGCTGTTTAACCTCCAGGAGGATTTGTAGAATCAGAACTTTTACTGAGCTTCCATGTCAAGGAGTCTCTTACAGAAAGGTGTGTCCTGGATTGCTGGAGCAACCCGTGCTGCCTACCTTCACCAGAAAATCTTTCCGTTCAGTGACCAGGTTTATCAAACGTTTGACTAACAGTCTTTGAATGGTGCATGGGAGCACTTCCAGCACGTACCTGGGACTTGCAGCGTTGTCTCATTGGGACCAGCCCAAGGCTGAGGGAAGGGGCCTCAAGGAGGGCTATCCTGGATCTATAAAACAAAACACTCCCCCAATGGAATGGAGCACAACTTCATCTCACCCAGCCATGAGGACTACCTACAGGCAGTCTCTAGAGATTCACTTGGACCTTTAGAAGCTTTTCTTGCAGTCTCAGGTACTGAGCCTGGGTTAGAGAGCAGACCAGGGTCGCTCTCACTCATTCTGCTATTTCCCTCCCTCCTCTGACTGGGTCCATGATATTCCATGAGTTGTTTCCTTTTACTTCGTACCTCAGTTTCCCTTTCTGTGGACTAGGGAGACCAGTGAAGTGTATTAAGTTTTTTCTTTTTTCAGAGCGGAGGAAGAGGCATGTCTCCTCCAACTGAAGGCAGTGACACCCGAATTCCTAGAGAAGAACAAGAAATTAAAAAAAGCAGAAACACTCAAAGCAACACACAGACACTCGAAGCAAAAAGCCCTTTTTTCCTCTGGAACTTTTGCTCCAGATCAGATGGGCGAAAAAAAACACAGTCAGGTAGGTAATCTAATAGACATCTCTGGAGTCCCGGAGGATCTCCACCTCCATGAGATGCTGCTGCACCGAGTGCTTGAGTCCCTCTTACAAATCTGTTCTGCCAGTTCTGAGCTCATCGGCTCAATCTGCTCTCTACATTAAAGAATTGCTGCTTGTTTCTCCTCTGCATTGGGAAGAAAAAGCAATGTGTGGAGCAGCATTAAGCTTATTTGTGTGAATTGGTTCTCAGCCTGTATTGAAGAGACTCACATCAGTAAATCAGTTTAGGGAAGAAAAAACAGTGTAACAGTAGCATATTAAAAAGAGTCTTTTATCAGTCTCAAAACCAGCATTGATAGTGCCATCGTCTGGCTTATTAACAGGCTGGGGACAGCTTGTGTTCAGTTTGTGTTGGCCAAGGCATCTAACATTTCAGAAAACCAAAACCACTTCCTGTCTAGAACTCAGCCCCTGACCTGGCTGGAAACTCACAATAAATCTATACATTTTATCAGATTTCAGGGGGGTTGAGCCAGGCTTTCATGAGGAACTATTCTGAGCCTTGGAGAGAAATTACTGCATGCAGCAGAGGGATAGCCTGGCTTGCTAAGAGCCATGAAACATCAGATTCATTCAGAAGATCAGGTGTGTACCCGAAGGCTTGGTGCCTCGCTTGCCTTGAAACAAACCCTGTCTCTGCAAGAGATGCCTTGAACATATTTTATCTGTGTTATCAAAGTCAATTAAATCAAGAGGCTTAGGGAATGTTTAACCCTGCTGCAGTAACTAAATAGCCAAGGGCATTATTAGTTGGAATTTAATTAGAAGTAGAATATGAACCATTTAAAGAGAGGGAAAAGGTTTTTTAACACAATTTAGTTGGATCACATTGAGGAACTCTGTTCTGGTTTAGAAGCCAAGTGAACTGCCAGCATTTCTCCTAATGATATTTTGGACAGACGGAGTTAATGGGCTTTTGGTCAGTCCTTGCCAGTGGAAGACAGCCTGGTGAAGATGTCCCGGTGCTGTGGTGGTTGTCACACGCCACCTACAGACTCTGATGAGGAATATTAAATGAAGGACTGTGCTTTCAAATACCTCCCTAAACTAAAAAAGAGAGAAGCACCATGCAGGTAGCCCACTCCGTGGCCTGCTCCAGACCTGGCTTTGAGAACTGCAACCAAGGTGGGCAGGTAACTGGTGAGTGACAAGAAGCAGCCAGTTTCAACATCCAGCCTGGTGTTCAGAACTATGACTAATAAGGCTGACAGGTGGTGTCTGGAAGGTATGGTAGCCTACTGATTATTCAGATTTTCAAAGACAATGTTTTGTCTCTCCACCCAATTAAGCAGGAGACTGGGCTGGACCCTGATGCAAGAAGCTGGGCTCTTCACATGCTTCTGCATGGTTTTCTGGCTGAATTTTGGGCTGGTTCCTTGCTCTCTGGTCACAGTTAAACAAGTTCCAGATTTAAGGTCAGAAAGAAAATTACTTTCTGCTTGAAGAATTTGAGGATTTGTAATTTTGTGAGTGATTTTAAGCATGTTTAAAAGCACCGGAGACATTAAGATGTCATTGTGGTATACCCTTCCAGACTTCATGTCTATTGTTGAGTATCCTGGTCCCCAGAACAAGGGAGATGAAGCACAGAGAAAGGAAATCATTGCTCCTCTTCAGTGATGAGAAAATCAGCTCAAAAGTACATGACCAACATCATTATCTTCATCCTCATATATGTAAATACACATCCAGTGAAAAGAGCATGGGGCAGCACTGACATTTCTTATTTATACTTTGGCAAATCTTCCATTTAAGCTTTATCTTTTGTTCTGTTTCAGAGCAGAACAAGTACCCCAGGCTGTGGTCCACGTTGTGGATGATGCTGGAATAGTAACTAATGAGCAAATTACACTTTCCTATTGAGTTGTTTTAAAAAAGAGGCAACAATCCAAAAAGGTGAGTAGATGCTAAATTCCAGCTACTCCTCATATGTCGCACGCAACATCATTCACTAACATCTACAGAGACTGACCTGTGCAATCAAAGTCAGTTGTGAATGTGACATAGAAAGCATGCCTGGTGCAGCATTTTCATCACTGGTGATAATGTATAAGAGCAGGGAACAAGCTAGATCTTTAGATGAAATTGCCAGGTTGGCAGTTAGAAATATCTTTTCCTTTGAGAAGAGCACACACATGAGATAACATTCGTCTAAGGCCAAAGTACTCTTTTTGCTAACTATTTTTTTTAGAAAACAAATTATTGCTTCATTGCAACATACTTCAGGCAGCAAGGACAGCGCTCTTCAGAAATCAGACAGCAAAGTATTGAAGTCGTTATCTGTTTTTTTAATTGAAACTCATATTTCAAGTCACACTAAAAGCAAAAAAATGCAAACACTCAGGTACAAAATGGCAGAGCAATATTGTGACAATTCCAGCATGTTGTATATTCTGGAGTACACACGATTAATCATCATCATACGCAGACAGCATAAGAGCTGTATCAGAGTTCATTTGATGTCTTCATTCTTTGGCTGATCCATTTGCCGTAGGGCCCTCATTAAAAGATGCTGGTTGGCGTAGCTTCGGGGTTGGACTATCTCAGCGAAATGTTGCTTGCCTGTTTTCCCCCCATGCCACTTCCTAAATGTCTCAGCTGCTGCGTTAGATGTGAGACAGATGAAAATGACATCTCGCTGGCATAAAGCAAGCCTGACAAGGGATTCAGGCCAGTGCCTACACTTCACATTAGCCAGATGTCAGAGACCAGTGATGGGAACTTCTGTGGTGCCTGGTGCCAAGTTTATTATAATCAGCATGGCAGCTTGGTGGTACCAAGACAAAACTGCCAGTGTAGAACAAGGCACCAACGCCAGTGGTTCACCATCATGCTTTGTAGGCTCATGAAGTGAGGTGGATTGTAATAAGCATGATACTGCTATAAAGTAAAGACTTCTCAATGAGGCTGACTATCTGACAGAAGGGGTAAGAGGCACCAACAGCAATACAAATGTCTTCTCCTCTCCATCAGTGAAGCTTAGATTGCTACATAGGGTGGTGGGGATTCCTTGGAAGACAACTCTAAGGCTTCCTCATACGATGGCAGCTCAGCCTGAAAGAGAAGACCATTAGTTATGCTCTCCAAACACAAAGGGTTTGGATTTAATCTTGGATGTGTTTCTCTACCTAGTTCAAAGCAGGGTAAAAGAACCACATGGACTGTAAGAGATAAAGGGCAGAAATCCAGACATGTTAGAGGTTAGCAGCACTTTATTACTGCTTTGCTGCCAGTCCCACCTCCTTCTCCCAAAGCATGGCTGCAATAAATGGACCAAGGCTCTTTAATGTCCAGAATATAAGTCTCATTGCCTAAGCAAAAAAGCTAAGCTCAGATCATTGCAGAGGGCCATGATGCACACACAGTCAGGGCACACACTGCTGGCAACACAAGGCTGCTCATGATATTTGCCAAGTTTCAACAAGACAAATGCCTACACTTAGCATTCCATATTCTTTCTCTTTATTTCTCATCCATCTTTACAGTATCTCTTCTTTTTGGAAGGTCTTCAATACCTTTCCATTGTGTCAGAGCAGCTGGATGCTACTATTAAAAAGATCATCAGTAGTCTAAGTGAGGACATTGATATTCATTATTTAGCAAGCTGCTAAGATGAAAGGCAATGCACCAAATCTCTCAGATGTTGATTCAGTGAAAAGTGAAGACAAACATAATTTTAAACATGGGTAGCACTATCAGGCACAGAAACTAAAGTTCATCTGAAATTAAAAACACATCTCTGGATCGAAGAATAAAGGTGATATATTCCCATTTATCTGCCTGAAACCTGAGTATCAGGATCCTTGCTGGTACCACTGACTTTGAAAGGTTTTATACAAAAGTAAAGTTAAATGAATATAATATAATCAGAAACTGATTATTAGTACCTGCTAATGCACATTTGAAAGGTTGAACTGTCTCTCAGACCACTGAAGAAGCAAAAGTGAGGATCATCATGCATCTCATCAGTGTAAACCACACCTTTCATGGTGTAAGTCTGAGGGAGTTTTTACTCACCTTTTCAACTGCTTGTGCGTCGACTTTTACCTCCTGTCTCTTGCTGGCTTTAATATACTTAAAGCAGCTCAGGACACATTTGAACATATAGGCCTGAAAAGGAAAGCAAAAGGGAAGTCTGCCATCTCACTGCAAGTCAAGAGCATTTGCCACCAGCCTGCTATTGCCCTGCTCTCTTCTCTGGAGGTAGAAGCCTAGGTCCATGTGTCCCAAGGCCTTAAATCAGTCTGTCCTGACCCTTCACTAGAAAGGTGACAACTCCATCTATTCAGAGCAGCACACTGGTGTGGGAAGTCAATAGGACTAGTAATACTATTAAATATAAAGCACATGTTTAAGACCTCTGAGAGTGCAATATCATGAGGTTGGAAAGGAAAGCACATTTTTCATGTTATTTTTCTCAGCAGGCTACAAAGTTTGGATGTCTCAGAAAAGCACCTTGGGCACAACATCCACCTCTCAGAGATCCAAGCATCCCTGGTCAGCTGGGACTGATCTGAAAAGTCACCTCATTCAGCAAAATCCTATGCTTGCAATACTTTTCTGACAAGACCTCCTTGCACCTCACTGAGTTACAAGATGCAATAAATAGAGCTTTTCTGAGAAAAATGGATCGATTGACGGATTGTGGCACATGAAAATAAGCAAGGCCTGTGAAACATACCATATTAAATAAATATTTTCCTTACTCTGTGCATCGAGGCAAAGTCGTGTGCCTCTTATTTTTATTGGCGTAAGACTCTGCTTTAAAAACATTTGACATTTTCAAAGGAACATAGGTAGTTATATGTCCTGAGAACAAGCCATGTAGCTTAGGATTTCCTAAAACAATGAGGACTGTTTGTCTTGACACAAAGCCAAGACAAAGAACGAGAACAAGGAAGTATCTGAGTTGAAGGAATCTGTCTCTCAAACAGACTTCCAGAGACGAGGAGGTAAATCCAAACTTTGACTACCTTTAGGGAATACTGCAAAAAACATTCCCCCTTCCAAAACCCTCTTCATACAGAGAGCAAACATGCAAGACACTGAAGCCATCGCATAAACAGTACAAAAACCCCACTCATCCCTGAAAGAAACCCAAATAAATTAAAAAAAAACACACAACAAAAAATCCAGACTTTGATTTTGATTCCAGACAAGTTTGCTGCAGTGCCAGTCCAGTATCATCACCAAACTCAATGAAGCTGACTTCAGTTAGGACTGCAGCAAGCAATAGCAGGTTGGAGCAGAGTGCATTAGTATACACAGCTTATGCAAAGGCAGCTAGTGACCTTGGGATCATCCCATTACTGGCTAACTCAGAACACTCAAGAGCCACTGTAGGATACCCTTCTCCACACTGAACTGAAGAGGGAATACTTCTCTGGCAGCTGTTGACTTTAAAAGCGGATGGGAAGCTTGCCTGAGAGGTCAGGAAGTGAGCTACTTCAGAAGTAATTGTGTTAAAGCCTTTCTTTCATTTCCCATCAGAAATGTTTTAGTCCCCTCGGTCTCTGCACCCTTATCACTGTGGTGGTGGAGGGAGAGGACTTCGCGACACTGAGGCGAGATGGAAATTGCTTGTGGATACACAGATCGGCAAGGGAGACTGCCCTAATCATGCTACGTAAGCATCACCCCTTCATTCACTCTGCCCTTTGAATACTTTGCATCTTCAGAAGTCTTAGACTTCAGCAACTGATGGTGTCACTGTTGGGGCTCTAAAAGTGAGTGTACAACCAGCAACCACACTGGTAAGGAGCTGCAAAGTTGCGTGGAGAGACCTCCATGTAGCAACAGGACAAGTTCCCTGCAAAGGGTGGTGTTATATGAGAGAAGGAAGGGAGAGCAGCATTCCTGTCCCCCCAGCATTGTCAGAGCAATCTTTCCTTCTAAAAGGGTGAGCAAAGTCTGGCGGGTCTCATATGAGGTCACCGGCAGAGGCGTGCAGCAGGGCAGGTGCCCCTTCTCTGCTTCGTCTGACAAACTTCTAGCTGAGTTATGCTGTGATGTGGGATGCAGATAACTATTCAGGAACAGCAATTGCAAGTTGGCAGGCAAACAGCAGCAGACACACAGAAACAAAATTTTAGTATAAGAGCAATAAATGCTTGTGATGTGTCACTAAGCAAGTCAACTCATGCAAAAAGACCCCGGACTAGTCCAATGTATTTAGATGCTACCTTGGTGTGGGCTTTCGGTGAATTGAAACCGATGCGCCCTAAATTGGCCAAATGGCCTTTTTACCTCGAAAATGTCTCATGTTGTTGCCATGTTCCTTATCAGACCTTTCACTTGGCAGGAACTCTCTCATGATAGTGGTTTTGCCACACATGGGGAACGGGAGGGACTGTCACTAAGTTTAAAGGATGGAGTTCCTAGTGTCTTGTTTTGGGGAGTTTAGTAAACCAAGGAGTACTTGTGCCTGTCCTTTTTTTTTTGATTATCCATCCCCCATCCCTCCTCCTACAAACTCCAGTGCAAGAAATCATTGCAAGTTAAGCAGTCTTGTAGATAACCCCGTTGAAAATTCAAATCAATGGATTTGCCAGGTCAATGACATTTCTGCTGAAGGCCCATGCCGCCAGCTGGGTTTCAGGGTTATCTCCACTTCTATTGCTCAGTTTATGCAAATACTAAAAAATGTCCTAAAGTCATGTCTGCAGTGCAATCATACAAGAAACTCCACACTACACTGGCTTGTCTGGCCACCTGGGAAGAATAAAAATAAGTAAAAATGCTTTCAACTAACAAGGAGCATTTTTCACTGTGACAGAATCTGCTCAAGTACCTGGAAAGATCCGGTTTTCTTAGGTGGTCTGAAACCCCTCAGTGAAAAACCTGTTCTCTGATCCATTGAAGCAAGAAGAATAGAAACCATCTCACAGTGGAGTTTTCTGAGATGCAAGCAAAATTTAGCAGCTCATGGGTTTTAATTAAATTTCAGGGTGTCAGTGTGCATAACTCCACTTGCATCACTGCGGATGCAGTGACTTACCCAAGTGGAAGATCTAACCTGCTGCTTAATGATCTAATTTATTTTGGAACACAATAGCAGAAGATTTTCCTATATTTGTTTTCAAACATCATATCCTTCTAGAGGTGAATGGGCAGTAATAATTATTGGATATAAGAGAGATTTTGCTTTATATCTCACAACTGCAGAAGCATAAAACCAGTGGTTTGAATATCAGACCTGCCTCAGACACTACGCTGAGGCATAACTCCTCTTGTGCCCAAGGAGAGACCAACAAGGCTTTCCAATGCCCTGGAAGATTTGAAAGAAGTGGAGCCAATTCCTTCTATCCTCCAGGCAAGAGACCTTCATTCCAGCCTCACCAGACCCTGCAGCCATTTACCTTCAGGAAGAGGACAGCAATGAATGCAATGGTGAAGGTGACCATCACTTTGGCATATTCCTCTGTTGGTAACTTCTGCAGGGTTGGCAAAAAGCCCTGTGGAAAGAGGGAGAGGGTGTCAGTCACAAACACTTGTTCCCTCTACCAGGGTCACACAAAGCGTGCTGGAGATCTCAGCAAGCTTCCCAGCCTGTCTCTCAGAAAGGTGGGACAGGCCACCTTCCTGTCCTCGTCAGAAATAGTACAGGGATATTTTTTTCCTTCTACTGTTTACACTCCTTTGGCAAGGATTTTCAGAAGACTATTTAAATGAGAACTAAAAGTATGACTGTTTAATAAAGATGAAAAGTTGATGCATTTTCAATGCATGCAGGCAGGCTTTACACAAATCATTTGGCTCTGCAATTTGCATCCATAAGATTCTTACAAGAAAAACAAGGTGTACTTTTAAGAAACACATGCATGAGCAAGCTGTCAGTCAAGAACACCGTGTTTGTGAGAACATATGGAAAATCCTCTTCTGTCATCAAACAGAGCAGTTGTGGGTATACCACAGAGATCAGAGAAAGTTTACTCTGTCTTAACAGCTACTGAAGGAAACTTCACAGGGATTCATGGCATGAAAAATCGGCTGAGCTTGCTCATGACCTACCCCATTGTCCACAGACTTGAAGCTGAGATAGGTGGGGACCTCCATGTAAGAGCTGCAGAGAGTGAGAATACTCAGGCAGAAATCCAGTAGCTGCAGAGCCAGGAAAGGGATCTTCGAGTGTCCCTGCTGCAAGAGGGGCAGGGAACGGGAGTTTGGTTATGATTACAAGATTGTGTCTTTATATAGATTGTCCCCATTTTACACAGGGCCTGTGCTCTATTTACAGCCTAAGCTATTTAATTCACTTATACTAGCCAAAATTAAGAGCAAACCATCTTGTTGGACTGATTCATACAAGCTCCTCAGGAAAGGTCTCTAGCTGGAGCAGTGATATTCCTAGCGTATTTCCAGCAAAACCTTCCTAGCATGGGCACACCTAGAACGACCTCCCCAAAGCCCCGAGGCAGAAAATAAAATCAGGAAGATTCTCAGACATGGGAAATTAAACAATGTCCCAGCTGTCACTAACTTTCCTTGCACACCCTCCAGTCCCCAAGGACTGCGTTGTGGCTCCAGTCAGCATAGAAACTGTCTCGTCATGAAGAACTGTGGCCCAAGATTATGATCCTTTAGATATTTATATGTAATCTATGTTACATTATGCACTGGTCTCCATCACCCAGAAAATACAGAAGATGACCCCAGAAGTGAGTTGTTACATACTGTGTGGCTAACAGAGGACACAGAGATGATCGCTGGAACTTGTATGTAGGAACTGAACATTGTTAGGAGGCTGAGGAGAAAGTCCATGACTTGTAGAGCAAGGAACGGGATCAGGAGACGTTCCCTCTTCTGAGAAAGAAAAACAGTGCCAGTTAGTTCCGTTCTGCATGGGAGAAGGAGACCACCTGTCAATACCTGAAAGAATGTATATTAAGGTACTCCAAGAACAGTTTCCTAGAATTTCTGCATCTAATTCCACACACTGTGGTGACAATTGATTCAGAAAAAATGGATTACATCAACACTGATTTTTTTCACCCCCTTGTAAAGTTTCTGCAAATTTTTGCTATGTGACATTGGCACTTGATCCCACCAGAGCTGTCATTCAGCTGTCCCCAAAGTTTACTGCTACAGAGAAAGCTGGGTTCCCACACCAATGCATGGACATTTCTTCTCCTGAAATGGGAAATGAACCCCCAGCGTAATAGGGGAGTTCCAGTTCCCTTCCAGGATCTGACTTGCAAAACAGTAAGCATACAAGGCAATAAAAAGAACATTTCCTAATCAGAACATTTCCATTCCTTAACAAGAAAAATAGTCTTGATAGAAATGTCACCTAGACTTGATAAATCTGGCAGCAGCATTGCAGATAAGCCTGAGACTGCAAACCAGCGGCCTTCCCTCTCTTCACGAAAGTGGAGATACTTCTCTGCTTTCTTGATCATACTTCGGCATTTTCAGTGAGAATCCTCTAGTCCCCCCCTCTAATACCTCCTAACTCAGAGAGACCTCAGCCAGCAGCTAAATGTCATTTGTGGAGGACGTACCTTCACAACACCAAGGAGGAGGTTGAAGCTGATGACAAACAGCATGAAGATCAACAGGAAACTGGTGATGACATCAGCTAAAGGCAATAAAAGTAATTACCACATTACTAAAATCTGGAGCCTAATGTCCGCATTCTATCATAGGTCTAAGGAAGAGTTAAAGACAGAAAGATTCGGGGGGGGGAAATGAGTGCCATGCAGCTGCAAGGTAACCCTCTTTTCCCTTACTACACCCACTTTTTAATCTGTCTTTGAAGCTTCTGTTCCTTTAGCCACTGGGTTGAGGAGGCTGTCAGCTCAGGCACATGGGAGCCAAAAGCCCTTATTGCTTGGACTGAAATGCTAGGCTACAGCATTAAGGTAAAATGAAGTAGAGAAAAAGGCAGAGTGCTTTTAGCTAATGATTAAGAAGTCTGAGTTGGAAATTATTTTGAGACTCAAAGACAGATAAAGTAACCAATTGTGATATCTGGTGAAAGATCTGCAAGATTCACAAACAGACAAGAAGCATGACTTTTAACCACCCACCGCTGATATGGACCACAGAGTTTCAGGGTGAAATATCTCACCTCCGCTCTCTGTAGCCGTAGGATGCAACACACACGTTAAAAATAAACGTGTGGGGAGAACAACATGAGACAGTTCTACCTACAGGGCTGAAGGTAATCTTAGTCAGCTGTTTGGGGGGCAGGAACATGATCTCTTACATACATTTAGCTTCCTACTGAACAGTTCCCAGGAAGCAATTTTCCCTCTTGGTGTTGCAGCCTGCCCTGATGATGACTGCCAAAGTCTTGCTTGCGCTGCACAGCATGCAGATTTGGTCTTCGTAGCAGTCTAGACAGTGTGAGGTTTTTTTGTAATGTTGGTTTGCTTCTTAAGAAAAAAACTCACTCCAAAGGCAAAACGCTGCTACTTTCTTTATCTGCCTCTGCATGATGTAGTGTCTTTCACAAAGCCTCCTCCAACTCAGTCTGATTTCTTTCTTATTGCTTTACCCGAGTTTAACATAGCAGCAGTCTGTTTGGCGTTCTCCAACTCCAAAATATCTGAATAAAAGTTTTAATTTCATTAGGAAATAGCTAAACATTTAACTTTTCTGACTTTAAAGCAACTGATCCTTTCCATAGGTACATTTCTTGATCATCAGAAGTGTCTGATTACTGGTTCACATACCCCACTGCCAACTGCCCAATTTATTCCATGGCTATTCAATAAATCTAGTGCCTATCTCTCTTTTTTCCATTACTCTTTTCACTTGCTTTCATAAAGAAATCTAGAAATTGTGCTTTAGCCTGTTAGATCCTGGATATATTCCAGCTGCTCTGAAATCCTTCACAGCTCCATGCTACCCGTTGTTTTCCCCATGAAAATGTCCCTCCATCTCCCCCAGCTTTTTGAGTGTTTGCCTACAGCTTTGGTACCACATTACATTTTTAGTGGGTGAGGGAGTATTTCAGTGCTTGCGCATAAACCAAAGAGTCCTTAACTCACTTCATAGCTTTGCTGAAAATAGAATAAAACAATTCACAAAGCTGTTGAGGCAGAGAAACCCATCCCTCTTTTTCAGGCAGTTAACACCAACACTGCTGTTTACAGCAACAAAACATTTGCATCAGAGCAGTCGCAGCTGTATCATAATTTGGCCAGTTACTCAGTTTGAGGGAGCAAATGCAAACAGTCATTCCAAGTCAAAGGGAGAGCCGTGGTAGGGAAGGACTGACCTGCCACCCAGTGCTGCCCACAACATCTGGCATGAGATGGGTGCCCATTAGATGCAGCAGCTGCAGCATACGCGCACTGTCAAGTAGTGCATCCAGGCTCTGCTAATCAGTGTGGGTATGGATGAAAGCCAGTTGAAGGAAGGGCTAAAGACGATACTGAGAAGCTCTGGAGCCTTTCCAGGGTTGTGGAGGTCTTGCCTGACAGCTGGCCTGAGCCACATCTGGCATCAAGGGAGGGCAGGTGGCACCACCAGTGACACTGCTCACGTCCTTACTCTGCTAGCAGAGAATGCACTTCATTTAAATACACTGATAAAAAAAATATTTAAAATTCTCATACTATCTTCTCAAGAATTAGCAACACACTTCAGTCTCTTCTAGAAGTGAGATTTGTTGACAAGAAGCCTCTAGTCCAAAAAAGTTCTGTCCAGTACTTCCTTCCCTGAGCTTGGGATGCCTCTTCCTTTCTGGGGCTCAAAGGGCCAAACCCTTTGAGGAGGCTGCACCCCTCAAAGAAGCAAAAATAACTTCTCAAGAGAGGAAGCAGCACTATAGGAGTTGCTGCACATGGAGGTGTCAGACATTCAAGACCTAAGGGAGTGATCAAAAGTTTCCAGCAAACACTTAACTTACAGCAGGAAAAAAGAGTTTTGATGGCACAAACCAAGAAAATAGCTTTTACTTGTAATCCAATAAAAAGAACAAGTTCAGGATCTGTTTACCACAAAGTACTGAGAATTGAAACACAGAAGAGGAAGAAGTCTTATGAAACAGCAAAGAAAGAAAACCCAAATCCAGTAAACCCCAAATGAGAACAGAGAGTGCAATGGAGAAAGGGCTTTACTGCAGAAGAGGCTGCTCACAGCTCTGCAGCTCACGAGGGTCATGGGAAGAGCCTAAGCTTCAAGGCAGAAAACTTAACCCACCTTCCAGAAGCAGGAGAGTAGAGACAAGGCTGTGATCTGGTGCACAAAGAAGCAAAGATTAACACAAGGACAGCGTAAATTCACAACAAAAAAAGAGCTTAACAAAGGAGACAGACTCAGCCTTTGAAGGAACAGCCATAAAAGGAGACAGTCCCATTAAACCCCAAACTGCCTGAAGCCCTTTTCTCTGGTTCTCCTCCCAGAACCAGCCATCAGAAGTTTGCTCCAGAGAGGATTTATCTCTTTAGCACGGTATTTCCTTGGATTGAAGACAGCTGTGTTTTTCTGCCTCTTTCTACATGGTCTCATGCTCCAGCTCTCTCTGCAGGCTCGCTAATTATTTGGGCAACTGGCCGTTGCCTCTGCAGGCTAATTGCCGGTAGAACCCAGCTGAATTTTCCAAGCAGAACCTAGATCAAAAAACCCTAAACAAAATCACAAAAAAACAAAAAGCCTGCAACCCTGCAGCCACAAAGGGAAGGAAAGAAAAGGAAACCCAAGAGAAAACAACTTTCCATGCATTGTCTGCCGCCTATTTGTTCACAGCAAATATAGTCGTCCTCTCTGCTGGCAGCAGATCTCTCTGTTCCAGGGTTGTTTTAGTAGCAACGGATTTGATCTCAGTAATCAAAGATTCTACTTAAACAAAATGCCTTCATCCTTTGTGGGAGCACATTTAGCAGATGGGCTAAAGGAATGACCCTCTTAGATAGTGGTAGCTGCTGGCTCTTAACCCTGTCTGTGCAAACCCTCCATGAGATGGGAATGTGGTATGTTATAGGGAGGCCAAATGCCACCTGGAATACTTTGCAAGGTGGAAGAGTGGCAAGTTACCTTCCAGAACCAGCAGCAGATCCCTGGGGATCCCTGGGGTTTGAGGCACTTGCAGCCACAGCAGACCCTACAGACTGGATTAAGAACTGTGACTAACAGGCTCTTTCCATGTCCAGCATCTGTTGTCCAAAACCACAAGATGTTAATTTTTAACACTCCTCAGTATTTCCCTTCCTGCTTAGTTGGCCTTTGTAGGATGAATGTTTATCTCTTTTGTACCTAAAGACCTTCAGAAAAGGGCAAAATTTAGGAATCTTAAACCAATCTCAAGCACCTATATAATCTCAAACACAGGTGCATCATTCCACAGTTTTCCCCTCTGTTCCTCCTGCATGTTCATCTGGGTGCCTATCTCAGGAATAATCTGTTTTCCTCTGCAGCACCTTAAACAGGGCTGACGTATTCAGAGAATAATGGGGTTTGTCCCTGTAGAAGATGCATTGGCTCCTTGAGGGCTGTTATTGCAAGACATTCCCCACCTAGTGGAGGAGAGAAAGGCTGTGGATGTTGTCTGCCTGGACTTTAGTAGGGCCTTTGACGCTGTTCCCCACAGCATCCTCCTGGAGAGGCTGGCTGCCCGTGATTTGGGTGGGTGTGCTCTGTGCTGGACAAAGAACTGGCTGAACGGCTGAGCGCAGAGAGTGGTGGTGAAAGGCGTTAGAGCCAGCTGGTGGCGATCATGAGTGGTGTCCCCCAGGTCTCAGGTTTGGGTCCAGTCTTTAACATCTTTGTCAATGATGTGGATGAGGGGATTGGGTGTTCCCTCAGTGGGTTTGCAGATGGCACCAGAATGGGTGGGAGTGTCAATCTGCTTGAGGGTAGGAAGGCTCTGCAGATGGGTCTGGACAGACTGAATTGATGGGCCGAGGCCAACTGTATGAGGTTCAACAAGGCCAAGTGCCGGGTCCTGCCCTTGGGTCACACCAAGCCCATGCAACGCTCCAGGCTTGGGGAGGAGTGGCTGGAGAGCTGCCCAGCGGAAAAGGACCTTGGGGTGTTGGTCGACAGCCGGCTG